AATATAGTTACATAAAATTGCTATGTATTAAATAAAATTCTCCAGAATTAATACATCTTTACACACTAATTAAAGCTTTAAATAGTGGTAGATTACCAAAAAAGAAAAAAAACAAAAGTAACATTAACTATTTAAAATAGAAAATTACAGCATCGTAAACTAGATAAAGTTTTCTTTAAAAACAAGTCGATTCTTTTTTTTTATTCAAATGATATTAAGGCTTTCAAGCGCCCAAGTGGTACAAAGTTCTGTTTTCTGAAAAATCATGGATTATTTAAGTTTTTTTTTTTTTTTTTTTTTTTTTATCAATCTGGACTTGATTCTCAACATTTAGGAAAACTTCCTTGTTAGATAAATCCATGATAATTAAGTTCTGATCTGTTTTAAAATAAGCTGAGATTCCTCTTCAGTTTTAAAAAAAAAATTATTTAATCTGAACTTTTGTCTCTGTTAATTAGTATTTTATAACTAGTATCTAATAACTAGTATCCTCAACAAAAATAATAACAATAAATCATCATAAAGTTTTAATTGCTTTTTTTCTAAGTTGGATTATAGTATTGATAGTGTCTGGCACAAGGGCCTATTATGGAAACTAAAACCGCACTTACCTTCCACTTATTTTTTAATTCTTCAATCCTACTTTCTTAATAGATTTTTATGTACTTCCGTAGATTCTTCTGTATCTTCCTTCTTACCCCAACACAAAGGCGTACCACAAGGTAGCGTCTTAAGCCCAATCCTCTATTCTATATACACTTCTGATATCCCTGAGCACCCTAATACCACTATTTATTGCTTCGCTGACGACACTGCTATTCTAACTTCACACAAAAATCCTACTATCACATCGATTGCCCTACAAAACCATCTTCCTGATCTTGAAAAGTGGTTTGAAAACTGAAGAATCAAAATTAATAGTAAAAAATCCACCCACGTTAGTTTATGTCTTAGGAAAGCCTCATGTCCACCCATAATGATTGCCAATAATCCAGTGCCTTCAAAGAACTATGTACGGTACCTTGGACTCTACTTAGACAAAAGACTTACTTGGAATATTAAAAAGACAAGAACTTACTAGACGATACAGCCAACTTTCACATCTTCTGGACTACAGATCTTCACTTAACTTACGAAACAAGCGACTTATCTACAACACCTTACTGAGATCAATATGGACATATGGAGCAGAACTTTGGGGTTCAGCAAAACAAACACACATAAACAAAATACAAACAGCACAATCAAAAATTTTACGAAAAATTGTTAACGCACCTTGGTACATTTCAAACACTACTATACATAACGACTTAAACACCCCAACAGTAAAATCTTACATCCACGACAAATACACTACATTTCATTCTTCAACCCAAAATCACTCCAATCCTCTGGTTCTTTCTATCTCCTGCTCCCTGTTACCTGAGCAACGAAGATTAAGAAGAAAATGGCCAAGAGACCTACTACATCAATAAAAACATCAACATAAAAAAAAAATCAAGCAATTACACCAAGACAATAAAAACACAACAAATTTGCTAGATGCGCAGCTGCGCAGGTGCAAATTGCATAAAATAAAATATAAATAAATAGGTATATATTAATTAATAAAATTCACTTTTTATATATAAAAATATTTAGAGTAAAATATTTAATTTTTGTTGGAACAAATAAAATTATCCTTTAAAATTTACAGAATGATTTTAAATACTTAATAATTTAAAAAAATATTTCTGTTCATGATACTATAAAGTACATTTTAATAAAAAATTTCCATTTTCACTCCATGCTAGGCACTGTTGTCACTGTCCTATCCAAAAACTCCTCAGATGCTCCAAGAACTTCTTTCATATTAATGTCTTAATGTACCTAATCTTTAGACTACTGGACAAGACATCTTAGTTGGTCCACATTATTGTGATGTAGTATTCATTCAAAGTATAGTTCCACTATTTAAATAAATAAGGATCAAGAAGGCAGAGGTCCTTGGCAGCAGCCAATGCTTCAGGCTAGAAAGGATGAAGTAGTACTGTGCCCAGAACGGAGGGCATTTGAGAATTTTCAATAAAATACAATTTACATTATCATTAGCAGAAATATTTTTGTAAAATATATTATTTAAAGTCGATTTATAAACATAATTTGTTATAACACACACATATCATTATATTGAATTTATTTTGAACCTAATTAGCTGTTCATTTATCATACTAATTATATTTTTATTGTAAATTGTTTTTTTATTTTTTATGACTATGACTAAATAACAATAATTAATTCATTAATATTCACCCCATATAAAAGAAGTAAAACTTTATAAACATTTTTTGAAATTCCTTTTGTTGAAAGTTATTAGAAATAGAGTTTAGCGTAATTAATATGAATTCAAAGTTTAAAAAACGAATGGTTTTTTAAAAGTGGGGCATTGTTAGTCCAATAGGAAACTGATAAGAAAATGAAAATATTCCATTGATTTAGGAAAAACAGAACTCTGACATAATTTAGCTGCAATAAAGATCCTTAAAATAGTTTCGTTTTGAAATTAAAATGACTTCATTAAATAATTACTTAACAGTTTTCAGCTAAAACACATGTAATAGTATAGTATATAATTTCTCTTTTTAAATTTACTTGTTAATAGTACAGAACGTTTTTCATCAGTATTTGTATAATACTAAAGAATTTGGAAATATGAGTACAATTTTAATCATCTCTGGTCTTAAATACATTTTTATTAAGTTTTCTTTTTACAATATTTATAGAAATTCTAGAGTTTCAGTTCATAACAAAATATTGTTATATAATTTTAATAATTTTAACATTTGATCATTTGTTTTTAATTGAGGATAGGTTCCAGACTGTTCTTTTCTTTCTTAGTTTTACTTTATCATTTATTTTTTTTTATGTTATTGAAAAAAATTTATATGTAATATAATTTTATTAATGAATTATAAATGGCTTAGGATTGTCAAGTTGAATCCAAAAAGTACTGTATCCACCTGACAATTTTGAAAAAATCATATTGTGTTATTTAAAAGTAAAACTGATTTTTTTCTTCTTTAAATTTGAGATAGTTATTTACAGTAAAGATGTACATTTCTTCACCATTTTAAATTTACTTTGTAGTATATGTGCAATTCTACAAAAACTTTCTTTTTTTATAAGAAATAAAATGTTTTTCTGGTTCATACTAGATTTCTTCAGGATCCTCCTTTCCAATTGTTGTTTTATCTGGTCCTGATTCATTGTAATAGTTATGTTCTGCAGTATAAGTGAGTGCCAGCCTAACTAATGTCTTATATCGGCTAATCTTAGTGGCTCAGAATACTCACTACTATGCTCTTGAAATGCCCAACTAAATGAAGTTCCAACTTGGATTCCAGATCTCCTTATCACACATCCCAAGGCCAAGTTAAAAAGCAGATACGCAATATAATCTCCTTGTCTAAATCCTTTATGGGTGCAGAAAGACTCTAAGATCATATCTTGGATACAGACCATACATTTTACCCTCATCATAGTTATCCATACAAGGCAAATGAGATTCACATGAATTTCCATTTCTAGCAGTCTCAGGTAAAGTTCTTCTTGCCTTACACTATCATGCGCTGCCCGAAAATCAATAGAGAGATGATGGGTATTATCTTATACTTCTTGCATTTTACAATGCTACTCTCAATGTGAAGATTTGATCTGATGTGGATTTCCCTATCATAAAGCCTTTCTGGTATCTGCCAATGGCCTCTAGGGCAAAAGGTAGCTGCCACTCATAAAGTATGTAGGAAAAGATGCGATGCACACAAAAAAGCAGTGAAATACCATGATATTTTCATTGGTTTATATTTTTAACTGTGATCTTAGATAACTAATTCACTGGTCTAACATAACATAAATTGTTAAACAATAAAAATATTTTCTATATTTTAAATTAAAACACAGATACACTGCTACTAAATATCTGTTCCTCGGAGGTAAAGGAAACCATCTCCATTTTATTATAAAATAATTTATTAACTGAGAAACAAATTGCAATAGCTCAAAGTTATGGATAATTCGCTCCTCAAACAAATACAAAAATGATGTCATTTACTTCCAGAGTAATGATGTTACTAAAATAGTTTACTAAAATGATGATTTAGTAACTAAAAAATAAATTTTAACAGCACAAATTTATGGAACATTGTCTTCTCTGAACAAATACAAAAATTTCTTGTGAAAAAAATGTTAAAAAATTATTTCTAAAAGTATTATTATTACTGTAATTCATTTTTAATAGGACTTCAAGAATCAGTTAAATACCATTTCATATAGATAGTTAATTTCCTTATTTTTCTTCCCAAGTAATTATCGTTATATATATAAAAACATTCTGGCTGAAACCTCCCGAAATTAAATCCTGGACTCACTACTATTGCAAACTGTTCCCTAATTTCAGATTCTGTTAGTTTTTGAACTGCATACATTATTGGTGGCATATTTCATTGCCCAACGGCAATTTAAATTCTTGTTCTAATTCTAGATATCAAGAATCTATATTAGCCTTCCTGTGTACCCTAATATTCATCAAGCTAGAAATGAATCTTGCATTCATTAGAATGAGGTCTGTCGAATTTGTAGTAAAACCATCATTTGACTTCGAAGTAGTCATTCTCTAATGAGAGAACAATATTCTTTCTAGTACTAGGATTCTGGAAGCAGCAAAGTGAATTTATCATTTATAATAGCTAGCCTGAATAAATTAATCATGTACCAAGATATATGTATACAATTTGTAATTATCATTATAAAGATAGTTTTTTTTTTCATAACTGCCTAGAAAGTTTTTATAATTTTTTATTTTAAAGACTTCAAACACACGGGTGGGTCATTATTGCCTTGATATCATAACTGGTTAAATTTTATTGTACAGATAGCAACATTCAAGAAACTCAAAAAGTGTGTTAATTATATGTTTTTTTATTGATTTAAACAATAATTAGTTCAGTTAGTTTAAAACTTACGAAGTAAGCAGGTATGCCTTCTAAATTGTAGAAATCCTTTGTTACACCTGCAGACACCAGATGTACAGGAACTGTTGGCAACCTTTTGCCAACATTGCTCAGCTGTCATACAGGGCATGCCGAGAAGTGTTGCTGTAAAATAAAAGAAATATTAATATTATTATCAGTTCATTGGTTTATATGGATAGAATCGTTACAATTTAAGATGACAACACCTCACTCACAAACTATAAAGTATTTTGTTTTTTATAGATAAAAAGAGCCCTGAAAATCCTAATAATTTGCCATACTTTAATATCATTTTGTATATAATCACTTTTCTCTTTGCTGAAAAAAAAATTGAGAAAACTAGCTATTCACTGAGGTTATATTTTTTTTCTTGGAATATATGATTAGTATTATTAATGCTTACCTGAAGAATTTAAATATAATTCCAAAATCAATTGTATTGCTGAATTTCTTTCTCATGTTTTGTTTTTGAAAATTTATAATTTGTTTTCGCACTTAAGTTTTTAAATAGCTGGAAAAGGGAGAAAAATTTGATACCTACAACACTCCTTCAATACAAACTCAATTTATATACAAATTATAAACTGTCTGACTTTATTTGGAGGGGCTGTAGAGATGAGGAAAACTAAAAACACCATATACTGACTGCATTGTTCTGCCTGATCACATTTTTCTCTCTCTCTTTTTTTTTAAGTAAAAATTATCACAAAGTGCATTTACACTATTTAAAGTTATTCATAACATCACCTCAAGCCATCTTTCCATTTGATGGCTAATTTCATTTTTTCATATTTAATAGTACTTAGATAAGTGATAAAATAAAGTGAATTCTTGAAGAGATCATGATTTTGATAGGTAATGATATTCATAGGTATCGATACTTTTTTTATGAAATTAGTGTGGCATTGATTTACTTATAGATAGTAAGAAAATCATACCTTTCTAATAAATTACATAGCTGGAGTAAGATCATCTCACACAGGCTACAGGGTAAGATGATGAATGGGTTATGGTAACATGACAGAAAGATGAGGGCTTTTAACACACCATAACAAACAACTTAGACTAGAACTTCTATCAAACTTTATTAACATATAACTTGAACAAGAAGTATAACTCTGGCACTCTGTCTTTCTGACAACTACGTATGTTAATTATTTGAAAAAAATCCAAATTAAAGGTACTTTAATGGAAGAAATTTTTATCATTAAGCATTTAAGCCCTGTGTTAAGTGACATCAATAAGAATAATACTTAGCTCATATTAAAGACCATTTAATTACCGAGTTTAATTAAAATCGTTAGAGCCATTTTCAAGAAATTTGTAAAAATATGAAAAGTCAATACAAAGAAGTACATCATGATAGCTGGTTTTTAGAATGGAATTTCTTACCCATCTCCATATGTCAAACCACGTTCATAAACTCCTTCGAACAACTCCTATTTCACCACCTACTACAAATTCAAACTTCCGCAAGCTTGTAAAATTTTCTGAGTTATACAATTACGTTGATCACCAGCAGTTAATTGATAGAAGTCATTTTATTTTTATTTATTAATTTTTTTATATCTCAGCATTTTATTGTATATATCTGTGTTTATCGTTAGTATGTTTTGTAGATATTTATATTTTCCTTGGTATTATTTTTTTTTTATTTATTTGTATTTTCCTTAATATCTTTGTATGTATATATACACTGACAGGCAAAAAATTCCACCCAATTGATTTTTTCATCTAAAAATATTTCTGCTTTGGATTGGTCTATTGTTTTTAATGAATAAATAGGTAATCTTTTTGTTTGTTTTCAATTAGGAATGTTAATATAGAGGACAATAACCCTTAATCCTTAATTCAATGAAATGATTCTAGATTCAAATGTTTAATTTCTATGGAATCAAAATATTATTCAGTATCATTAGTTCAGTGCTGTTTCTTGCAGCACATTTCTTAGTCTCCGGCTTTTAATTTTTTCAATATTAAGTTTAAAAATGCCTCTTAGTGCTGAGGATGTTGCACGTGGTGTGGCACTTATTGATGATGGACATTCCATCAGATATGCAGCTAATGCCATCGGAGTTCCATATGAAATTTTAGCCATCAGGCGTTTTTGGGAAACTGGTTCTTAAAATAGAAGGCCTAAGGTTCTGGATGGCCTAGGGTAACAGAACCACGGGATGACCGGTTTTTGACTTTGAGAATTTTACGAAACTGGCACCTTACCGTTGTTCAAGCGATTCATCAGCTCGAAGAACTTCGAGGTGTGTAAATTTCTGAACGTATCACTCGGAGAAGATTAAATGAGTATGGATTAATGGCTTTTCGTCCAGTAAGAGGACCAGAGTTGACCAGAACTCACAGAGTAACACGGCTGGCTTTTGCTCGAGAACACAGCCATTGGACTATGGACGAATGGCTGTACTTTTTACAGATGAGTCAAGATTCGCTCTTCCATCTCCAGACGGGCGTGAAAGGGTGTGGAGAAGAAGAAACGAAAGATATGCAGCCTGTAATTTTTCCCAGAGCCAACGTTTCCAATGTGGTTCCTTAATGGTATGGGCTGGGATTTCAATGGAGCGCCGCACAGAATTGGTTGTTGTTCGTGGAGGGTCTTTGACGGCCACTCGCTCTGTAGATGAGGTTTTGGAACCTGATGTGTTGCCTATCCTCAACGAAATCGGCGATCGTTCTATTCTAATGCACGATAATGCACGCCCACATGTCGCCCGCAAAATGCAGACATTCCTTCAACAGAACAATATTGAGGTTTTAGCCTGGCCAGCTCATTCTCCAGATTTGAACCTCATTGAGCATTTATGGGATAACCTTGGAAGACGAATAAGAGCGCGTGCAACATTTCCTGATATACTGCAGGACCTTGAAAGGGCTCTTCGGGAGGAATGGGCTATCCTCCAGCAAAGGGACATTTTCCGACTGGTGGAAAGTATGCCGAGGCGTCTTCAAGAAGTAATGAAGGCAAGAGGAGAAAACACGCGCTACTAAACGATGATGTAATTAATTTCTTTTAGAATAATAATGGTTTGTTTTTCAATTTTTTTTTCTCTAATCTTTCTTACCCAATCAAATTTTGATTATTAAAGGTAAAAAACATTATAAAATTCGGTAAATACTAAGTATTATCTACAAATACCATGTATTATATACAAATACAACTTTACAGAAATATTTTAAGATGAAAACATGGAAAAATAAAGTGGGTGGAATTTTTTTCCTGTCAGTATATATATATGTGTGTGTGCTTACAATTTCCTAGGTATTTTTTGAATATATTTGTATAATACTTATATGCCAGACTAATGTACATAATTTTTAAATTCTACTATTAATCTAAGGGGACTTCAGTTCCAGAATAAAATTATTATTCATTTCATTTCTTCAAAATTGTGGCATGTCACTTTCTTGCCATTAGTTCTTCATTTTAATATCTCAATTAAAATAATAATTTACCTAATATGATGTATAAATCACAATAATTTATTTTTTATTCTTAGGAGATTAGAGAAAAAGAAAAAAAAATATCCAAAAACTGAATTCCTGCAATAGATGGCCTTTACAATCACTTTTGATAGAGGTTAAGGCTGACATGGTAGGACCAAAATGACATCTGTCAGAATAAATTAAACAAATGAAATAGTTTTCGTTATGTGTTGATAATTTAAGATTGACCCCTGATGTATACGATTTTTTTTCTAATGATAATTTTATTAATATAACCAAAAATCATTTTTCATTTTAAAACTTTTTAGATCACAGAGAGTACAAAGTTATATAATTATACAAGATAAGGTGGATGTATTTGATTGTTGGTATAATTTAATGAAAGGCTGGTCCGGAAGAGAAGAGGGAAGAGAGGAGGATGCAGTCAATGAAGAAGAATACATCAATAAGTGGGACTTATTTTTTATTTTGTGTTTTGCTCAAATTTATTTTGTCCTTTTTCATAGTAATGAGATGACCAGAAATAGAACCTATCTTAGATTTTTTTTTTTTAATGAAATTTATATCTGTATTACATGAAAAATACAACAAGTAAATGTGACATTGGTAACATGACATGTAAAATGTGAAGAGAAACTATCCATTGGTTGAACTCAAATTAAAGTTCTATATTACAAGATCCTGAGGCCATCTTCTTTTCAGACATCTCGGAGGTTTAGAATAGAAGAAGAAGCAAGCCTGGAAACAAGAGGGTTTGGATGGTTCAGAAGTTTATTATGGAAGGTATATGGATTGGGCTAAATCAGAAACATATGGTACATTAAGGTCGTTATGAATGATTTTATTTGTGACAAAATAAGGTGCATTGAGGATTTCACAAAGGATTTTGGATTGTAAGGATTGATTACGAGAAGAATTTGATGGTTTAGTAGAGCCCCAAAGCTCATTTCCGTAAATCCAAATAATCCTTATTATAGTCATATATAAGAGTCTTTTGTAAGTAATTGGAAGTTTAAAGTGTTTGTCTAGTAAGTGCTGGATTAGTCGAAAACGTCAAGCGGTTCTCGTTGTTTCAGTCTGGTATGAGGGTTCCAAGTGAGTCGTTTGTCCAGTTGGAGTCCTAGGCATCAGATTTGTTCAACAGGGATAAGAGGGTTATTGTTAAAGGATACAGTAGGGCAGAAAGTCATAGGTTTGTGATGAAGGGTAAAGGTAATTTGATGGGATTTATTGGAGTTTATTTTAATCCTCCAGTTTTGACACCACTCTTCAAGACTTGTGATGTGTGATTGAAGAGTTAGGCATGCAATTGATGAATCGTTGTTAACTGATAGGATACACATGTCATCGGCATAGGTGGTGATGACAATCTTAGATATAAAATGATTATTTAAAATTTTATAAAATTATACTCTACAAAATGTTTGACCATGATAATTTTTTCATGTGAACTAAATAGTTACTAAGTAAATTGTCAATATTAAGATTTTCGAGATTATAAATGCATTTAAAGTGGTAAGTTCCGGAAATTGTAACGGATTTAAAAAAAAATTATTTGGAATGAAACATATATACATATTTTTTATTGCTCCATAGCATGTTTTCTTATGCACTTGAATCAAGGAATATAAAAACATCTATTCTTGCCTTCTCTGCTATAACAGCTC